TAAAGATTAGAAAATAATTAGTGGATTGACTTGCAAATTCTTGGGAGTATTCTTCAGCCCTGGAGCGAAGGTTTGGCTGTTTGCAGGGGGCACGGGGTGTTTTTCAAGCACCATGCTCCCTTCATCCCCATCCTGTCGAGAGCCCAGTCCTGCGCTGCACCTCGTGCTGTCACAACAGGAATGTAAATAGGATTTTTGGTGTAAAACAGTGTTTCCAGGATGGTGCTGAGACCAGGAATGGGGAGATCGAGCCCTTTCCTCCGCCTGAATCCAGACACTGTGACTTTGGGCTCTGCGGGGAACAGCCCCATTTACCCCGGTCTTGCCCTTGAATGCTGGGCACAAGGCAAGCAAAGAGCACCTGGTGAGAAAAGCTTTGTGTTAAACATCATTTTAATTAAAAGAAAAGAAAAAAAAGCAGCTGTGGAACACCGGGGGCCTGATCCTTGCTGTGCAGATGTGCTTGGTCTTGGTGAAAAAGGGGGATCCCCAGTCCTGAGCCACTGATGGTGCCGCTCGGGGTGTTAATATCAGGAACGGTGCTGGAGAAACAAGGGAGGAAAAATCTCTGGATCTTTTTTTTTTTTTTTTACTTCTTCTTTTGGGCAGTTTCTTTAGTAGTGTTGAAAAATTTGGTAGTTTTCAGCCAACTCTGCTGGAACCATGTCTATGGGGACACGTGTCGGTGCTGTCCCGCACGTCACATCACGCCCCTGGACATGACCACAAATTTGCTGGCCAGGGGGATCTGCGGTGCTGGTGGGCGATGCTTCGGGTTGAGAAAATCGGGGGCGGTCAGACGAGGCCAGAGCAGTCCCCCCGGCCCGGAAAAAAGAGCAAATCGGGGGCGGTCAGACGAGCCGGGGCCAGAGCAGTCCCCCCGGGACACGGCCGAGGCTGCCACTGCCAGGATTTTGTGGCTGGGTGAGAAGACATATGTGGGACAGGACATTCGCGGGGAGCCCGGCCACCATGTCCTGGGAGGATCGTCTGGCCGGCGGCAGCCGGGGGACCCCTGTCCTTTGCCACTTCTCGCTGTGCTCTCAGTGGGTCCATTGCGCTCCTCCCTCCCCGGCTGGAGCCTGTTAGATGGATGGCGCTGCCTTCCTCTCCCTGCATTCCCGGGGAGTTGGCAAACCTGGGATTTCCACCTCTGGATGCGTGGGGCTGGAGCCTGGAGAGGGTCTGGGGGAAATTTGGGGGAAATTTACATCCTTTGCCCCTTTGCCGGGTACCGGAGGGCAGATGCTGGGGCTCCTGGCTCCCTTGACCCCTGCCACGGCTGTGGGTGAGTCACTTGAGCTGCCCACAGGCAAGCATCCCCAGTGGAATACATTTATTTGTCTGCATCCCGGGCAGGGTGTGGGGAGAACGGACTTACTAATGTCTGCAGAGAGGCTGAAATGCGGTATGTGGACCCCATCCAAAATCTTTGCAAGGCAGCAGAGAGTAAGCAGGGTGGTAGGTAGCCGTCTCCAGTCGCAGCCAAGTAAGGAGCTCGTCTCGTACGGCTCCCACCGTATAAACAGCGGCTTCTCTCTGCGCTACTGGGCGAGCCAAGAGGCTCCAAGTGCAGGTCCTGGTGCTTCACACCCCCAGCCAGCCCATCAGGAGCTTCGCTTTCTTCCCTGTAACGAGATCTGCTCCTTACTCCCTGAGGTTTATTTTTAAACAACAAAACAAAACAACAACCACCCTCTTTTATTCTGGAGCTTGGTGTGGAGCACCCGGAGCTGCTTCTGGCTGAGTCTGGCCCCAGCTGAGCCCCGGGGATGTGCTGGGCCGGGACGAGCCTGTGGGACGTCGGGCAGCATCGCTGTTTTGGTGCAAACCTCTAATTTAAGAGCGTTGGAGGTGGGGGCATTGGTGTCTGCCATCGGTTCTCAAGCAGACGGGAGCAGTGCCAGTGCCCCCTTCTGAGCCAGAAGCTCATGGTGTGCCCTGAGGCTGCTGATACTGTCTGCATTTCCTTCCCTTTTATTTTTTTTTAATCTGAAGTTCCTCTTTAAGGGGTTGCATAGAGTTTATTGATGGCCAAAAGCAGCCCAGGGGTGAGGTAGAGCAGCGGTGCCCTCCCCACGGACTGGGGCTGCTCTCGTACCCCGTGGTCGATGGCAGCAGGGACGCTCCAGCTCTGCTGTCGGGAGCTCCCACAGGTACAGCTGCTGCTTTTCTTACCGCTGCTTCCCTTTCCCAGGCCTTGGAGGGACACACAGGCTCCTTCCTCAGGCCAAAATTTTTGGCAATGGCCATGCTTTTGCTCTTCTCCATGCCGAGACCTTGGGGATGGCATCAGCCACGCCTGGACTGACTGCTGGGGGTGCGGATGCCAGCGGTGGCAACGCTGGGCTTTGCTGGGAACTTCTTTCCAGGAAGGGGATTTTGCTCCAGAGGAATATTTTGTTCAATAGTATGGAATTTAAGATGGAGCTGGGGGCTTTTCTGTGCCTCTGCAGCATCCATCAGCGGAGCCAGCTGGGCACAGTGCTGGGGTGCAGCCCTGGGGTCCTGCACTCCCAAACGTCACCGGAGGGTGAATTTTTGGGCTGGGTCTCCCCCCGTCCCGGCAGTTCCCTCCCCTCCTGCAGGGCTGTGCAAGCTGAGCCCGGTGGAAGCTCGCTCTGTCAGGTGAAACCCTCCTGTGTTCAACGAGCAACACTTTTTGTCTCTTTCTGTTGTTTTTTATTCCAGGGGGTTTTGCTTCTCTGTTGCTGATCTTCCCCCCGAGCTTGGTGCATCCCCACCTTGTTTACTGGGAATGAGCTGCCACTTCCCGCAGCTTTTCTTCCGTCGGTGTGGCGTGGGTTTTGGAGCCGCTGCTCACCCTCGGGCAGCAATAACGGGCTGAAAAGGTGGCGGTTTGGAGCAGGTGGCTTGGGGCTGCTGTGCCCCGTTTTCTAGTGGGCGAGAGCACATGAAACCAGGAGGTTCAGGCTGAACGGAGGAGATTTCTTCATGCAGCATGGGAGCGAAGGGTGGGTTTCTTGCTGCAGGATGTTACGGGTAAAACTTTTGCATGGGCTCACAAATCCAAACGAAGGCATTTGTTAGCAGGCTTGCTTTCCTTGCACGGGGGTCTGCAGCCCCCAAGGAGCTCCTGGGTCTCAGAGCCCGCTGGGGCACCACGCCGCACTTTGAGGATTTGCTGCCTTTGCCGGGTGGTTTGGAGCAAACCACATCCACGGCCGTGTCTGAGGTGCAGAAACCTTTGAGGAGGGGATCGTCCTCCTTGCTCTGTGCATGCTCAGCCTCCTGCACAAGGGGCTTGGAGCTGGGTTTTTTGGGACACCCCAAATAAAGGGCGATACCGAGCAAGAGCACTGGGCAGGGAGCACCTTCGCCAGGGCGGCTGCAGGATGGGGCTGCACCCCGATGCAGCCCCAGAGCTGCATGAAGGGCTCTGCCATCAAATGGGTGCCGCAGTGAGCCTCGCAGAGAAACCAAGGGGGCGGCAGGGGATGCGGGCGCAGAGCCAGAGCAGCACTGCCATGCCAGCGCTCACTTTTGGCTGAGGTTGGATGAAATTGCGGCCAGAGCCCTGGAGCTGCTCCAGCCCAGGATAAGCAGGACTGGGGTCCAGCCATAGCTTCAGTCCTCTCTTAAATTTGCTCCCTGCAGTTGTTGCTGGTGATGGGAGGGTGACAAACGCAACGGAGCAGGGGTGCTCTGGGTGTCCTGGTGTGGGTGGCCGGGCTGGGACGTGCTCAGGGGCAGGGTGGTGCTGAGGATGCCTGTCTGCGCCGTGCCGTAGTGCTTTCTATGTCTGCTGGCACCGACGGCCACCTCTGTCCCCTGGAGCCTCCCCATCCTCTGTTGCCTCTCTCATCCAGTGCTGCCCACGTTCCCCAAAATTGTAGGTTGCAAAGCTTTCCTTATTTGCTGTGGGGTGGTGAAGCCATTGTGGGAAGGGTTGAGCTGAGTTCCCTTCAATTCAGACTTTCTGCTGGCTAAAAACTTGCTTTTTTTAATGAAAAGAGAATCTGAAGCCAGGGGTGAGGTATAAAACTCCCTTGAGGACTGCCCCAAAGGGTCTCCGCTTCTCCCTCTCTGCAGCGTTCAGCCACTGGTACCAAGGCAGATTTCTCCCAGTGTGCCAGAGCGCGAGCATCCCGGTATTTCCCCTGTGGGAGAGGAGAGCATTTCTGCGGGCAGAGTCGGTGTCTCACTCGTGGCCCCCAGCTCCCCGCCGTCCCCACCATCACGCTGCCTCATAGCACCGGCTGGTTTCCACACTCATACCAGTAAGCCGGAGGCAGCATCCAGGTGTCTGTGTGGCTGGGACAAGACAGCATCCCTGCTGACAGTGTGGGTTTTCGCTTTGCTTCCACAATTCCTCCACAGAGGAGGAGGAGGAGGAGCGGGACACGATGGAGCAAGCTGCTCTGAGCTGGCCCTGCTGAAAGGGTGTAGGATGTAGGAGGGAGAGGCACGGGGTGCGCAGGGTGCTTACCCCAGCGCTCAGCAGATCCAGCCCTGGTTTAATTTTGGTGATTCCAGGCAGAGCATCCAGCAGTTGCATTTTCCAGTGCTCTTTGTCCCGTGCCGGCGGGCAGCTCCTCTTTGGGAAGGATCTGCCAGTGTTTGGCGTGGTTGGGTTTCCATAGCCAGGGCGGTTGGGAAGCTCTGCCCGTGGGGTTTCAGGTCTGCAGGTGGGTGCAAAAACCCGAGGAGCATCTCTGAAAGGAGTCACCCGTAGCTGTGCCATGGCTGCGGAGGGCAGTGCAGGGGAGGGGGCCCTGGAAGGGACAGGGACATTCCCGGTCCCACTGGGATGCTCCTCTGGAGCTGCCTCCTGCGAGGGTTGGGTTTGCTTTGCGGGATACCAGGTTGGGAGAAGGGATTCGTCAATACAAACTTGCCCCATCCCGCCCAGCTCCACATCCATCCCATTCATCGGCAGCCGAGTGGGAGCAGGGAGAGTTCACTCGGGCGCTTGGTTTTGGCGCTGAGCATTGTTGGTGGAGCTGGAGCCAGCCACAGCCAGGCTGGTGCTCTGCGGCATGGCCCCCGCGGCCACGTTTCAGAGGTTTCTCCACAAGCGGCGGCTGGGAGATGGTCGGGAAGAGCCTGGATTTGGCAGAAGCAAGTGGCACCACGCAAAAAAAGACTGGCTGTTCCCTGGGGGGCTGTTTCCTCTGTAGGTGTTGAAGCCCACCGAGCTCAGCCGTGCCGGGGGGCTGGGGTCAGGGAGGCTGAAAGCTCCTTTCAGTGCATCAGGGGCCTGTCCAAGCGCTGCTGCCAGTGCCATGGACACCAATGAGGGTCAAGTCAGCACTAAATTCCCTATAAATAAGTGAAAGAAAAGTGTATTTTGGGTGAAGCGCAGCATGTGCCTTTGCTGACGTGTGTTGAGCTCATGCTGGTTGTCTCACCCGGCTCCAGCCTTGCTGGGAGCAGCTCCCCGCCATTGATGCACAGCGGTTTTTGCCAGGGGAGAAGATGGAAGCGCTGGGGAGGTGCGAGGGCTGAGCTGGTGCTAAAGCTTTCCCATTCTTCCAGGACTCAGCAGGGACCCGGGGGGGGAGGCACATTCGGTGCCGCCTTCTGCCTGCTTCAAGCAAAGGGGCCATGGGCTGAGCTGCCTGCGGGGTGTGGGGGCAGCCCAAAACCCTTAGCCTATAATTTCCTACCTCCAGCTCTTCTCTTTTTAGAGTAAAATGATATTTTGTGCTTTTCCGGCCCCGGGTTTGCCCCCTCCAGTCTGGACAGCTTCCTCTGAGCACCGTGCCGCAGCGTGGCTGCCATCGAGCATTGCCCTTGTGTGATGCTGCACAGCCGTGATGCGGCGCTGAGCACCCTGACACCGACTCCTGGGGCTGGCTCCAGGACTTTTCCAATGCACTATTAATTATTTTACAAAGCCAGGTTAGCAGAGAAGTGGAGAAGGGTGTCCCGTTGCTGACCCCTGCTGCTAACGGCCACGGCGGTGCTCACAGTAGAACAGCTTTTTCTATTCCTAGTACCAAAGTGCCGGTGTTCGGCTCCTTGCGGCACAGCCTGTGACCCAGGGAGGCCTCATCCTGCCTGAGTGCTGGTACTTGGGTCCAGCGGGTTGCGGCACTGATGCTGCATCACCCCAGAAGTGCTTAAAGACCCCATCTCCGGTGCTGGTGGTGGGTTGCACCGCGCCTCGCTGCCTGCAGGAAGGGGAGAGCGATGGGCTGGGCGATGCCATGGATGATGCTGGCACGGTGAGACGGGTGTTTGGTGGGGGGACAAGCTGGTCTCCTGATGTCCAGGTCAGGATCAAGCCAGCTCCGGCTGGGGAAATACCAGCACCAGTTTAAGGGACCTGAGCTTCAGCCAGCCAAAATCGGCCCAGTCTGAATTTTTTGCTTATTTTCTCACTTGCCATGACTTAAAAAATAGTTTCCGAGAAATTAAATGTTTCTTCTTCCAGTTGTTGCTTTTCTCTGTTGCACATGCACAGAGTCTGCTCCCTGGAGATCGCCATGCGAACGGGTTTCACTTTTGTTTATTTGAGGTCATCACTGATGTCATCTCAGCTGGGGAACGGGCCTTTTACATCATTTCGTTTCTGGAGCCGGGTCGATGCTGAAGCTCTGAAATGAAATGGGGATGTCTTCCTTCCTCCATTTCTTCTTTCCTTTCAGAGACAAGTCAGGAAAGTTCACTGAGCCAAAATGTTTGTTGCTTGAATGTGCTGGAGCCGCCTGTAACAACATAGCTGGGGCAGGGTGAGGTTGCGGGGGAATAGGAAATGAAAACCTTTTCAGCCCAAAAAATTCATACAATGGCAAAAAACCAAAGCAAACCAAACCTAAATATAGCGGGGCCCGTGAGTTCGCTTTGACTTCTGGTGAATGCTTGTGGTGGAAAAAAATGGGTCACTTTTAAAACAAAAAAAAACCCGACAAAAGTTGTCTTCTTGATGTGCTGCTTTGGGCAGCTTTTTGCTGGGACACTGGGGCAAGAAGCAGCTGCACGGAGCCTGGGAGCAGCTTTTTAGCTGCGAAACATGCATTTGAAGAAATAAAGTATCTTTTAAAAATGACACGTCAGCTGGAGCAACGTGTCCCAGTGTAATGTCCTGGGTTTGCTGGTTTTTACAGGTTTTGAGATGGATTCACGTGCTGGGGTGGCCCTTGGTGATGCTGGGGATCAGGGAGTTGCCGTCGGGATGCAGGGTTGGGCTGTCGCAGTGGGCAGGACTGTGGGACGTGCATCGAGCCGGGGTTGAGATCAGCCTTTCTCCCCTCCACAGCTGCGCTAGCGCTTTATCTGCTGGCAGCGATTCGCCTTGCTCTGCTCCCGCCTCCCAACGCCTGGGCTGGGATTTCGGAGGGTCCCGACGTGACGTTTCCTATTTGGTGGGGCTGGGGCCGTGCCCGCGGGAGCTGCGGCTGCGTGCAGGCGTTTTCCATCACGCCCTGCTCACGCGATGGGAGACCTTCCCCCGAAGTTCTTGTTTGCGCCGCAGTTTTTTTAACAGGTCCCCAAATACACATTAAAATGACGGATGCGCTATTTCCCTGCTCTGTTTTTCTCCACCCGGAGCAGATGGCCGGTGCCGAAGCCGTTGGCGTGGGCTCCTCCGGCGCCAGCATGGGGCTCGTTGCGATGCCTCGGAATGCTGCGGCCGGGTGCTGCCAGTGGGAACTCAATTTTGAATGGCTCTGATGATGCTGTTAGAGCGGGCGAGCTCTTTGCACCGGCTCCAATGCCTGAAAGCCGCTTGCTGGTGCTTCACAGGGATGCCACACTTGGTGCAAACACCCATCCATGTCACCCTGCCTGGAGCCCATCACCCTGAGGACAGGCATTGGGGCAAACCCCAGGGTTATTTCTGCAGGGAAGCGGTGGTCCCTGGCGTGCCGGGTGCTGCGCAGAGAGATGCACCCCAAAACTTGCTGTGCATGGAAAGGGAGCCAGGATGCTCTGGCAGGGCTGGGCGGGATGCGTGGCACTATGCCGAATCCCCAGCAATGCTTTAACCCTTTCCCCCTGTTTTTTCTCCAGACTCCAAAGTCTTCCTCATCTACAACGTGGGCGTGCAGGGGTGCCTGGAGACGAAGGACTCGCTGGTGAGACTTTCCAAGGGCTGCAACGCCAGCGCCCCGGCCCAGCAGTGGAAATGGGTCTCGCGAAATCGCCTCTTCAATGTGGGGGCCATGCAGTGCCTGGGGGTGTCGTGGCACGGGGCCAACGCCACGGCGGGGCTGCACCCCTTGGCCACCTACGAGTGCGACCGCGAGTCCGTCAACATGCGCTGGAGCTGCCGTGGCCTCGGGGAGCAGCTCTCGCAGCATCTCGGCACCCGCCCGGGCAATTCCTCCCTGGACAGGGGGGACCAGGCGCGTGGCTCGCAGTGGAGGACGTATGGCACTGAGGAGGATCTGTGCTCCGTGCCGTACTCAGGTAAAGCCTCGTTGGGCGGGCATTAGTATTATCCTGTAACCCAAATGAGCCCTGAAACGTGAGCTGAGGCCACGGTGCTGCAGCAATCGGTTCCTGCCTGGGGAACTCGGTCCCAGCTCGCTGGGGCTGCAAAACCAGGCAGGATTGGGGCGATGGGGATCAGCCCCAGGGAGCAGACACCCCTGCACTGAGCCAACCCTCACCCCTCACCCCAAACCTCCCTCCAGGCCCTGTAGACGCAGCCTCAAGCAAGGGCTCCTCTTTCCCCGCAGAGATTTACACCATCCAGGGCAACTCGCACGGGAAGCCGTGCACCATCCCCTTCAAGTACGACAACCAGTGGTTTCATGAGTGCACCAGCACGGGGCGGGAGGACGGCCATCTCTGGTGTGCCACCACCCAGGACTACGGCAAGGACGAGCGATGGGGCTTCTGCCCCATAAAGAGTAAGTGGGGGGGACGCGTCCCACGGGGAAAAGCAGAAACCCCATGTTCATCCCTCCTGGAGGCTTTCCTGCCTCTCCCCTTCCCTCCTGGCTCATCCCTCCTCCCACGAGCAGCCTGCGGTGCCAGAGCAGCCCCACTGGCTTCTCGTTATCTGGCTTTTGAGGGTTACTGGGGGTTTTTGGAGCCGCGGATGGGGCTGCATTGGGTGCTCACCGTGCTCATCCCCACAGGCAACGACTGCGAGACCTTTTGGGACAAGGACCACCTCACCAACAGCTGCTACCAGTTCAACTTCCAGTCGACGCTGTCGTGGCGGGAGGCCTGGAATAGCTGTGAGCAGCAAGGGGCCAACCTGCTCAGCATCACAGAGATCCACGAGCAGACCTATATCAATGGTGAGATGATGGCAGCCTGGATGTGCACCCGTCCTCACCCGGGGCAGAGCTGGTGGCACCGTGGCCATCGCTGGTGCCAGGTTGTTCTGCCTGCCCCCGGGTGTGTGGTTGGGGGGGCTCACCTGGGGCAGAGCTGGTGGCACCGTGGCCATCGCTGGTGCCAGGTTGTTCTGCCTGCCCCCGGGTGGTTGGTTGGGGATGGTGACAGGCTGGGGGTTGAGCTGGGTCTGGGGGAACTGATCCTGGCCCTCTGGCTGTGTCGGTCCCAGGGCTGCTGACAGGGTACAGCTCCACGCTCTGGATTGGGCTCAACGACCTGGACATCAACGGAGGCTGGCAGTGGTCAGACAACTCGCCCCTCAAGTACCTCAACTGGGAGAGCGGTGAGCCAGGGGGGTTACGGTGGTGATGGGGGGGGCAGGGAACAGTCTGTGACCACTGGAGATGGCCCCATGGCAGGGGAGGTGGCCCGGGCTGCCATGGGGTGTCTCCTCATCCATCCGTGGGGATGGAGAGCCCAGTGGGGCTGCAGAGCAGCCTGGGACATCCGTGGAGCTGGAGGAGGGACACAGGGTGCTGGAGGGGGAATTGTTCCTCTGCAAACCCTCAGGTGCCCTGTGGATAACCTGGCTTGAGCACTCTTGTTTGGAGGGTCGTTGCATCCCAGCTCGGTGCTGGAGTGCAGCTGAGGCTGAGGAGTGGTCCCCAACTGCAGACAGCCATCTGTAACCCTGGGGTGCTCAGGGGGCAGAAGGACCTGTTGTGAGGGCTGCTCTGGTCGTGCCCAGTGCTGTCACCCAGAGGCACTCGTGGGGACAGTGATATCTCAGGAGGGAGTTGGGGGACAGGCGGGAACAGTTCAGGTCTGGTACCGTGTCCCCCCCCAGCTGCCATCCAACATTTGTAGGTAAAATAGCGATGCTCCAGGTCCTCGTGCATCAAGGCACAATGAATAATCCCAGGCATGCGGGGTCACGTCTTCATCGTGCAAAATAACAAAATAGGTCTTTACTGGTGTTGGAGCAGGGAGAGCTGCACCCTGCCGGTGCCGGCCCTCGTGTGGTGCCCTGCCTGCATGGGCAGTGTTGGCGGCTCTGTCCCGGCCCCGCCAGCTCCTCAGCAGCGTGTCCCCCCCCCTCACCCCACTTTCCAGACCAGCCCGACAACCCCAGCGAGGAGAACTGCGGGGTGATCCGCACCGAGTCATCTGGGGGGTGGCAGAACCGTGACTGCGGCATTGCCCTCCCCTACGTCTGCAAGAAGAAGCCCAATGCCACCGCTGATCCCTTCCTGACGGGTGAGCGGGGGGATGAGGAGCACCGGGAATGGGTAGCCCTGTATCCCTGCCAGGTGTGCTCCCGTCCCGGCACGGTCAGGGGATGCTGTCCAAGTGCCAGAGCAGCCTGTGGAGATGCCCATGGTGTCCCCAGCTTGCTGGGGCCCTGGATGTGCGGAGCAATGGTTGAGCTCCCCAGGGTTGCCTAGATTTGGAAAAAGTCCTCCCCCAGCAGCATCCCCCAAGAAGCGCTCGGTGCAATTACAGGTTGGGCGGTAGGGGAGGAATCGAGAGCAGCGGGAGGTCCCCTGTGGTACCCAGGGGATGACGTGCTCTCTGCTCTGCTCTGCCATCGCTCCTCTGCAAACAAAAGGGATTTTGTTTTGTCCTCAGAGCTCTAAAGCCACCGTTGCCCGCACCTTGCCATTGCATGTTACATTTTGGCTGTAGCTTTCCCACTGTTGCTTTGGCTTGGTCTCCTGAGCACCCTGTGGGACTGTGGTCCCCTCCCCATGGTCCCCTCCCTGCCAAGGAGAGGGTTGCAGAGCAGGACAGGAGCCCTCAGGCTGCCTTGTGTCCTGCCAGACTCGTGGTCGGAGGTGAAGGTGGACTGCGAGCCCAGCTGGCAGCCCTTCCAGTCCAACTGCTACCGTCTGGTGGGAGAGAAGAAGAGCTGGCAGGAGGCGAAGAAGACCTGCCTGCGGAGCGGGGGGGACCTGGTCAGCATCCACACCCTCTCCGAGCTGGAGTTCGTCACCAAGCAGATCAAGCAAGGTAAGGGGGAGCCCGCTGTGTCAGCGGCACCCTTCCCATCCGATTTTAGGGTCCACGGAAAGGTCGCTTCTGTGTGATGGGGGCTGCAAAGTTGAATTAATTTGTGGCTGTGAAGGGAGCGGAGACCCCAGGCTGGGAGGTGATGTGTTGCTTGGAGGAGCCCGTGCCCCGGGTGCATCCTCCATCCAGCAAATGTAAAAGCTGTTCCCGGGAGCCTGCAGTGCTGGGGAAGAAAATATGCAGCTGCAGCTGGGAATGGCACTAGTCCCAGTCGGTTAATGTAGAAAAAGGTGGGAAAAAAAGTCCTGCTGGGCTTGCTGGAGGAGGCTGCACCTCTTACTGCTAAATCTGCCCAGGATGTGAGTGTCCCCCGCAGCAGGTCAAGCGAAGGACACCTGCCTATGGCGTCCCAGGTTTCTCTTTCCAGTTCTGGCTTCACCCAGGTGTAATTGGGTTGAAGTTTCCCATGTCGGGATGTGTTGGAGCTGGGATGGTACTTGGGAAGTTTCAGCCCGAGCAATCACGCGGTGGTACGGGGGAGCACCCGTGCCACCATCCTCCAGACCTCGCTTGTGCCACCCCTCATTAGGGTCACCCTCAGCTCAGGTTTTGCTGTTCCCATACGAGTGCAGCCCCTCTGGCCAAATTAAGCACTCCCATGAGCCCACAGCCTGACCCTGCTCCGCAGAGGAAGAGCCTGACAGCGAAACCCACCGCAGGGACATCGGGGGACCCAGACTTCAGCGGGGACCAGGGAGGGGCTGGGGGCTGAAGGGAGGTAATGCTGAGGGAGGGAGGGG